GATTATGAGCAAACTGAATCTTAGATGAATCAAATTACTTTCTGATTTTAGACATATACTCTTTAAGTTAAGTCTTTAAATCAGTTATCTCTTTCAACAATTCGTCTATATCCTCATCCAGACCAGGTTTTGGCCAAGGCATATATTTATCGTTGTCTACTTTCCTCCAATCTATATTATCTTAAAATTGTTTGAGAATAGGAGTGAAGTTATCGAATAATCCATCCTCAGATTCAAGCAGCTATCTATTTTTTCACCTTTTCTCTATTTCATTCTAGGGAGACGATTTTTCTTTTTATACATCAATTTTATCTTGACTATCATCTCTATTCTCTTGTTCAATGTCATCCATAGGATTTTCTTAAACAGTTCTGAATGTGCACAATCTTTTTAATCTTTCTGACTTAAAATTATCTTTATCGTACTCAAATACTTCAATTTTAATTTCCTTTAATAATTAAAGATACATAATTCTTACTAAAAGCTCATCTAGAAGATCTAAAACTTTTTTGAAATCTTTTAGTCTCTGATTCCAACTAAGATCATCATATGCAATATGAATTTATGCTTTGACACTATAGCTATAGACTTTGCTGAGCATTCTTTCAAGGTCATGAGAAGTCTTTCGTGCTTTAGATCTATATCTCTGCACAAGTTCAAAATTATTAAGTAAATCTTCAATGCAATCTTGTCTTTCACTTATTTTATCACTATCTATTAGAGGCATGCTAAGCCATTTTCGAAGTAGTCTTTATCCATAAGGAGTACATGTTTTATCAATATAATCCATCAAGCTTCCTTTTGATTTTCTTACCATTTGATTTTAATTAGGGTCATAGCTTTGTGAGTTAATTACAAATATTTCTAAATTTTCCAATGCATTTCCATTTAAAGTCATATGGTTTTACCCATTGATATAAGCATGAGGGGACTCTCCCTCATATTGATAGAACTATCCAAATGGAATTACTTATTCTGCAAGCATCAATGACTCTAAATATTTGATTGTCAGTCCAAAAGAAATCATAGCAGACTCATCACATTTTTTCCTCAAAGTTTATACTAGGTCATTAAGACCTTCGGCCCAGTTTTACAAATCAGTTGTAAAATATCTAGTAATCATTACTTCTGTATCAGCTGCAGTTGGTAAATTATTCTAAGTCATATATTGGATCATTGGTTAAAATTGAGAGCTTCTTATCATTTTAATTGTTTCTTTTGAGCTCTCAGAATGCAAAGCCACACATTCCAATGGCCTTACTTATAGAAGAAGAGTTCGAAATTTGTGAAATAAGTTTTATCATTTTGACCTTATAGATCCTGTATAAAACCTAGAGATAGTTAAATCAAAGAATGTAAATCCTATTCATGTATTTTGCTCATTTCTGACATACACTAGCACATATCTATTATCAAAATTTTGATCAGAAATTTCTTTCTCTGATGATTATTTTTTATCTTTCTTTTACTATTTTTAATTCATCTCTATAATGCCTGGATTGAATGTACCTTTCGTATATATTCCAACGATCTCTCTTCTACAAGCTTTCCAATTTTAGTCTTACTTTGGAGTATCTACCTTTTTCAAAGGTTGTTCAACTTTAGTATCATTCTCCGTTTACTCCTAATCCTCTTAAGATGATTGCTATTCAGGAGCAGTTTAGTTTTAATTTAACTTTTTCTTTTTTATAGATTTCTTTTATGTTTTCTTATCTGATTATTACCTTTTCTCCATTTACTCTCTAGTTTCAGTCTACTCACAAATGGCTACTTTATGACCATTAGTTATTAGCAAGTAAATATTATCATTTAGGTTTCTTTGAGGAAATCCTAACTAATAGGAGCCTGGATGCGGGACTACTATCATATCAAATAGTTTAATGCATGCATCTAAATCATCGTAGTAAGCAATATACCAATCACCGAATCTATATAATAAAATCTAACTCATTGAGTTTTTCTTGATATCCCAATATCTTTTCATACCTGGGGATAGTTTATTCATATCCTCAAGAGGTATATGGAGAGTATTAGGATCATAGAGAGGATCTTCTGCTTTACGCTTATTTCCATCAAGTCTATTTTATGGTAGAAGGAAGTTTGGATATTGTTTATTTCTCTCTAACAGATAATCTTTTTTTGACATTCTAGCCTTAGGAACAGGTTTAGATTCCTATTCATTAAGAGACTAAATTCTTTCAGCCGCTTTTGCATAGCTTTCAGTAAAAACATCTTAAATTTATCTACGCAGAGGAGGAATGTATGTCTCTTAAGAATCAAGTTCATGTTCTTCATTATCTAAAGAGCTATTTTGAGTATTTTCATCTTAATTAATTACTTAATCAACTTTACTTGATTACTCTTAATTGACTGCTTAAGGAATCTCCTCCTATATTTCATTAGGCTATTCCTTTACTTCGGACTCTTGCATCATTACATCAGTAATATCTCAGGCTTTTGCTTCCTCTTCTTCAGCTGAATCATCTCCAGTGTTTTCATCATTATTTTATGACTCATCATTCATCTCAGAATCTTCCTGTTTTTGAGTTTGAGTATCAGTAATCTCTTAAGTTTATTGAGTTTGATTAATTATCTATTCTGTATTCATTTCAGTCACTTAGTCTTCTATTCCATCATTATTCAAGGAAGCTCCACCATTTATTTAACTTGAAAATCCGCATTGATATTACTGAAGTATGTCAAAAGTGCTTTGTCTTATCTTGTATTATAGAAGTTTTGGCTCTTTTATAACTTCACCATTCTCATCTTAAACTTCTCCTCCAAGTGTTTTTTGAAGCATGGCTTTTTTCGCTACTGCAGCTTTCTTTTTGAACTTCTTAGACTTATCATATTTTTTTGGAACATATTTAGCCTTGTATTATTGTTCCTCTTCATCTATTACGATATCAAGGACCTTCGACATTTTAATCTTTTATAAAGCTTAGAGCTAATTCCCTCTTAAACACCGTAATAGCTAATAATTAAGTTCAAGCCTTAATATAATTTTAGAATAATATTTGTCATATAGCACTCTAATTTTTCTTATGGGGTTTTGGGGTTTTGGGG